GAGAGAGAGAGAGAGAGAGAGAGAGAGAGAGAGAGAGAGAGAGAGAGAGAGAACCTGCACTTGGATAAATGCATCTTCTTGATTCAGAATTTGGAGAGACAAAGTACCCTGGACATCGAAGTTGCTGACACCACCGTCACGCTTTAGTGTTACATTAATCTTTTCTTCAACAGTCAATGTGACGGGATCAGTTAGTGGAGCAGCAGCTGGTTTGGCCTGACCAATGCTTGGTCTCACATCCTCGACAATTACTTCACCCTCTGCTTTCAGGGATTCCAGAAATTGGTTGGTCTTCTGATTTTTACCTAGCTGCATACCAAGACCTTTTGGTGGAGCAGTAGCAGATGCAGCTGGACGACCTGGTACGCAGAAATGTCATAAGCTACATCTTTATAATTGGTTTCCAACCAATTTTCTCAAGGTTTACCAAGAAATAAGAAATTTTGATATTTCAAAGGATAAAAAGGAAACATGCTTCACAGCCAAGAAAGAGTAACCCAATATAGAAAAACTTTTCAGGCCTACCAACTGATTCCAGGCCATCAAACTACACACACACGAGAAAAGTTCTATGAAAATCTATCAAGAAAAAATCAGCCCAAAAACACATTGTCACAGACACAGAAAGAGGGAACTATACAAATCTCTTAAAAGGAAAAAAGCGGAAACAAAAGGAGGTTTTGTTTTCCCTTCCTTCTTCAAGAATATTTAAGGTTTTTTTGTACGATTGATTTTCTCAGTGTCACATTTATCAACCTTCTACATTTTGTGAGGAAAATGTGTGGAGGGAAGTTGTGTGTTCTTCTTCGTCCGTCATTTTCATTCTCTTTCATCACCTATAAAGCATTTTTTCCTACTATTTTCTTTTTAAGTGATTCCTATATCGAACATTTATCAAAAAGGGCGACTCATCAAAACTTTACTGCTTCCCTACACAATATATGCATTTAGCAGCAAAAGGGTGTCTGCAGAATACTAAACATCTATAAGAATAAGAAGTTGCACAAGCAAACATGCAAAACTTGGTGATGTACCCCTCTACAGAAGTTTAGTAACGAGCAAAAGACACATCACAATGACAGGGTGAAACAAATACAAACCCTTGGATTTGGTGGAAAATGTGTCTACGTCAGGGCTTAGACCAAATCCAGAACCACTACCAAAACCACCAGTTCCTCCGCTAGATATGCCTGAGTCACTGCCAAAGCCAGTATCGATTCTCCCAGAACCCATGGATTGCAGAGACATGAAACCTCCTTTTTCACCTCTATTCTTCTCAATCTGCAAAGATGTGTAGAAAATGGTGTAATCAGTACAATCAAATAGACCAAATACATGAAAAGGGAAGAAATTAAACATTTAGCACAGGTAACGTGTGCCTTCTGGACTACCTTGCTTTTGTCAATCTCACTGGCTTTACGCTTCATGACATCCTTAGTTTCATTTATCTTGTTCTGTAAGACTAACTTGTGCAATCTTTCCTCATGGCTCTCCATTTCACAATACTGCTTGACTTGTGTAACTGTGACATTTTCCTTGTGTCCAAGAGAGATCACTTCATCAAATGCAAAAATAAGCTCAAACGCTGTACTGCCAATTCCTTCCTCATCCAGTGAATAAGAATATTCAGGCACCTAATAACAGTCAAGGAATAGGCCCAAATGTTTCCATTTGCAGAAAAAAAAAATTAGCAGCATGCACATGAAAGCTTGTTTATTTATAAATATTTAGACTGAGTTTTAGAGTTACATTTTGCAGGTTAAAGAAACTAAAAACCAAAAGAGGAAAAGCATTTCTCTTGAAAAGAAGCAATATTCTATGCACAGAGATGAATAAAGCTAAGAAGAAAGGATAATTTAACTTCAGTATCAGAAGAAGAGAAAGGATACTAGTTTAGACAGCAGCCTCAGTGTCTCCAGATCTTCAAGAATGTTGCTCTGTTTATTGGTCACAAGTAGCAAGTACAGAGACTCTATCGGTTGATAAACATATCGCACATTGTCAGTCTCAATATATGTATGCTGCTTTCCTGTACCAACCAATTTGGGGAAAGCTGCAAGATACCCTTCAATTCTTATACGAGACATATCAACAAACTGCCTCGAGACAAGTGCTGCAAAGACAATGAGATGATACAGTAGTGATCAGTGCAAATCCATCCTATTACATAAATAGAAGAATATTGGACATCAAGATGCAAGAAAATGTTGAATAGCACATCCTAAGTCCTAACACAGCCAAACAAAAGAAGCTGCTTCTGCAGTAGAAAATCAATAAATTATAAAACAGACAGCATCATGGGACAGCTGATTCCCTACAAGAGGGGTTATCATAGTGGACAGACTTTCCATTCAACTGAAATATATGAAAGAGTCAGAAATTCAACAAAATTCTGACCTAGACCTACAAAATTAGAAGATGGAAACATCACAGTGAAGTGAAAAGTATAATCAGACGGAGGAAATAGAACCCTTGGTGGTTCCAACAATTTGGCCATCCCCCAGCTTTATCGTTATGTAATAGTGGTCGGACATAACAGCTACAAAAGACAAACAGCTAGAGTTATTACTCCAACTATGTTCTCATTTTTTAGAGGGTTAACAATTGTCTCTCCACTTCCCATTTCTTTCTAATTCAAGTTTGCATTCCATGATTTATTGTTTTCTTCTGCAAAACATTCATTTCCTTTTCCCTCCCTTCTAGGAAAACATTACTGAATTATATTTATTAGTCACATCTAAACTACAAAAAAAAAAAAAACAAAGCAGTTACACCACGCCGCCTCTTCTCTTCCCTTGTCTTTCTTCTTCTCTCAATACAACAGGAAGCCTGCCACACTTCTTTCTAGTGATTGTCACATATTATCCTAACTGATTAAGTAGGACAAAACATTACTATTTTCTAAAGCACTCACGAGGCATTAGAATCTTTTTCTCGCACTTTTCTTAAAATAAATGTCTTTACTAGGTAACCACAAAATATTAAGACATCTCATACACTAGTAAAACACCAAAAAGAGAGATCAAAACAAAAAAGTAAAAAACCAAAAACTTTTTTCCATGAAATAACTGCAGATTATAAAGATAAATATATCTTTTGAGGACAAGTGCCAACCATTACAGATAATCAAATACAATATGATACCAAAGTGAACACCTCTGGCATCTTTGCAACAAAACTGGTTAAACATAAGTAAAATATCGACGACATGCGCATCAGAGAAATAGAATGAATTTCACATCGATAGAAATCAAGTCCTTGTCTTTCTCTGTATCGGTAGTAGCATCAGCCTAGTCTCTTGCAAGTTCACATTTTACATGTCCAATATCACATATGTCTTAGAGGTTAGTTACTCTTTGTGGTTAACTAAATGGAACTTTTTCCTCTGGCTTATCTGCAATTTTCACATTTCTTTCAAGAAGTTTACATATTAAATTGACTCAAACTGCAACTTCTTTTCTAATGCAGAATTGTTAATTCCAAGCTTTAGACTCCAAAATAGCACAAGTTTGGCTTAAAACCCCATTACCGAAAAAAATGACACCTTTTTATATCTATAAGCTTTTTTATCGTAGCATTCCCATTTTGAAGCTGAAAACATGTTTTCTTAAACTCCAAGTCCAGTCAAACACCTCATATAAAATGAAAAGGAGGGAGTAGCAATTATTGTGTACATGCTATAACTTGAGTAGAATGCTACCATAAAAGTCATCAACTAACATCACACTAGTTTCCACAAACCAGAAGATTCCAAGAACATATATATAACGCGACATACCTTTGCCAGATTTAGAAATTATCGAAGCTGCTAGAACAACCTGCAGCACATATTAGAACGACGGTGTAGAGTTACTAATCACTAATTTTTTGAAAGAAAGTCACAAAACATTCCAATCTAAACAGCTATGTTGTTACAAAATTATCAACATTACCATCTTCGCTGCTTAGTAGATTTTGCTGAATCAGATCTTAGGCAATAGATCGTATACCACCTGGATTTTGAAACGCAAATTCAAAGCCGTAAGAAAAAAAAACATTTTCAAACAGTTAGTATGAAATGAAAATATCACCCACTTCACAGGCATCAACAATGTAATAAAATTTAACAATAACAACAAAATACAATGTACACTGTAAAAAATCACTAAATTCACACCATAAAAAGGTGAAATCCTGCCTATAACCACGCAAATTGCTCGGATCTTCGCATTGATTTGACATAAAACGTAACTACAAATCAGATCAGACAGTAACAAATCCCTAGATCTAACGACCACAATCAAAAGAAGAACATTATAGAAAGATCAAAACCGTCGATCGAAGTAGATAGAGGCCCGGGGTAGTGAGAAGAAGTATTCAGAGAGATCGGCAGTTACCTGAGTGAGAATGCTTGCTGACGAAGAGTAATCAGATGTGATATGAGAGAAAAATAGGCGCTACCGGAGCTTATATATGAAAGGACCCTGGATTATTTTTTTTCTTTATTGGGCATTTGGACATAAGAACTGTAAAATTTAAACGGAAAAGGGGACTAAAATACCCCTCTACTATATGAAATAGGACATCCCGGTCCTACGTTAAAAGTTGGCCCCTAATCTGCCTTTGCCGTCAAAAAATGGGCTCAAAAATGTCCTTCTCCACTAATGAGAGACTCTAAAATCCACGTGGAATTACATTTGCCTAATTAAAAATTCCAATCCTAATTTAAAATACCACATGAATTTAAAAATACCCCAACCCCTCTTATTTCCCTACCCCTACCCCCGGGTCACCCCCAATTTTTACTTAATATAGCCGTTAGGTTAATTCTAATTACCAGACCCTTTTCTTCCCCATTTTCATCCCAAAAGCTTCTCCTTCAAAAAAAATTGACCTTCATTGATGTCTGATTTCTCCTACTAATTGGGTCACCTTGTCGATTTCGAGTTGGGTTCTAGTTTAGGTTTAATTCTTTTTCATCTTTCTCAGTTTGTTTTGGAGATTTCTCCAAGACAATGTCGCAATGTTCGAGTAGCTTAAATGGGTCGATTAGGAGGTGTCGTTGTGGACTTGCTGCTAATTATTTCATGGCGTGGACTCTTTTAAATACTGGGAGAAGGTTTTTCAAGTGCCCTAAGCATGAGGTAAGTAAATTTATTGATGGGTTCTTTTAATTATTTCGATTTGACTGTAATTTCTTTTTTTTGGTTTTAGGATGAAAAATGTTCCTATTGGGAATGGCAAGATGAGGAGCTTCCTCCTAGAATTTCAAATCTCATATGTAGTTTAAAGAAGGAAAATGAAGCTCTAATCCGTGAAAGAAATGTACTCCAAAAGAAAGTTGTCGATCTTGAGAATGTTATGATGCTCATTGATCATGGAGGAATAGAATCCTTGGAATTGGAAAGAAATGTTCTAATGAAGACAGTGGTTGATTTAGAGTACTCAGTTGTGCGTGCTGCTAACTTTCGGAAGAAGATGTGAATTTTTATTTGTGTGATATTGGGATGTTTTGTTATGTTCCTTGGATTAGGGGGGAAATGATATGTATAGTGTTATTGTGGCTTAATTGTTGTCTTTTATTATGTAATGAAATTTTATGTTTTTGTGCAAGGATTCAATGAAGTCATTCCCATTCATTTGAATGTTTGTGTCTATGACTGAGTTACTTACTGTGATAATTAGTTTGTTGGTCTCAAATAGGTGTGTGAGTAAACTGATATGGTGTGAAGTGTTTGAGAATTGACTACCATAACTGACTCATATATGACCCTGTACAATTTGAAAAACGTTTAAAATGCCCTCACATATACCTGTTGGACCAGATTCAAACAAGATTTACAGAAGAAATAGGCGATTAACCAAGCACAAATAGTCATCAACTAGTCATTCAAGGGATAATAGAAATCAACAGAGTTAACTAGTCATTCAACAAATATCAACATAAAAGTCATTAACAAGTAGGTGGTTAACCAACCACAAAAACCATAATTGTGGTTGGTAGCAAAAAAGGTTGTCCATCAACAAAACATAACTTTAGAACCACCTACATCAAATGCCATCACATTCAAAACAATTTAGAAATCTGCAGATTTAGTCTTCACATGGGTTCTTTCCTTTTATTCCCATCATCTTAATATTCTTTCTCCTTTGTTGTTCAAGCTGGTTTGAAGTGACTACTGCTTTCCCCTTCCAGGTTGTCTTGGTTGGGGAATATGGATGGTTTGTTGGTGTGCAAACTCCATTATCATCACCCATAAAAGGAATCCTCCTATTTCCAGTTGGTGGCACTTTGAGACTTTCTCACCTTTAACTTTGTTAGTTTCTTAGAAAGAAATTGGGCCTTAATGGTGGATCTTCTTCATCACCAATGGAAGGACCATATGCAGTGGACTGTTGTGTTTCATCTTCATTGTTGAACATTGATTGTACTGTCTTTTGTGTTCCAGCATCAACAACTTTTTCTTCAAATATTTCATCTTCAAATGTATCATCTTCAGACACTTCATCTTCGATACTTCATCTTCAAGCAGTGAACACTGTGATGATTGGCTTTTGTTTGAAGCCTTTCTCTTTTTGGTTTTGCAGATTTCTCCAGCAACCTTATCCTGCAAAACACTAAATTAGTTACTTAATTGTAGTAAGTAAAAATTTAAGAAGAAATAAATCTATGTTACCTTTGGACAACCCTTACAATTGTGGTTAATTTCACCACAATTGTTGCACTCCATGACTCTTCCTTTTCTTGATAAACTTCACAAACCTTTTCTATTTCTTGCCTCATCAGGTTTACTATTTCTTTCACCTTAGGTCGACCAACTATTTTGACAATCTCTAGGGGCTCCATAGCTTGAGCAGGATCAACTTTCTAGAATTTAAGACCCCTAACAGGCTGTAACTTATGCTTATATGTCAGCATGTAAGCATCTCTGATATGCCACCAATTAACACCGATTAAAGGGTCATCTTTATTGTGATTCATTACCTTGATTGCATGAGGGCAAGGTATGCCACTCAAGTCCCACAGTCTGCATGTGCATCTTTTTTTCTTCAAATCCACAGTATGCCTATCATCTCCTTCGGATATCTCATATCCATGGTCCCCATTGAATACAACTTTGCACAAATTAGCAATAATCCTGTAGTCATTGTACAACTTCATAGCAGTTGAACTTATATAAGAAGTCTAACTCATAACTTTTTTCTCATTGTCTGCCAACAAGTTCATGACTTCCACTCATAAATCCTCCAACATTTTAATAAATGGTTTGTGCCTAGCTTTAAGGATCCAACTATTAAATGATTCAGTAAAATTGTTATCAACCATTTCATTCTTACACTTTGCATCAAAATAGGCCCTATATCATGCTTGTGGTGGATATTTGAGTATATCTTCTGCTGCTTCCTCATACAATTCCCCTAACTTCTTTAGTTGGTCTTTGAACTCTGCATCATAAGTACTCCAGGCACACCATCATAATAGTTTCTTCATTTCACCACTCCTCCACTTCTTCATCCAATTAGCTTCAATATGTCTCACACAAAATTTGTGATGTGCATCTGGGAGTATAGTGCGTACAGCATCCAAGAGCCCTTACAGTTTTCACATGATCAAAAAGAATAAAAGTATCAGTTCTGTTTCAAAGAAAACATCAAAACAAATGAAAATAACTAATAAAGATCAACATGTTTAATTACCTTTTGCATATCAGAAATGAAAGCTACATTTGACCCAGTTTTCAAATCCAAAGACAACTTCAAACGCTCCATAAACCACTGCCAGATCCTGCTATTTTCTTTATCCACAATTGGCCAAGCAAGTGGATAAAAATGGTTCATACAGTCTTGTCCAATTGCCACCAGTAACTGACCCTTGCACTTTTCTTTCAAGAAGGTACCATCCAAACCAATAAGTGGTCTCAAACCATTTTTTCAACCTTCTTTCAGAGCTTGGAAGCAAGTGTACATTCTTAAAAACCTCATTTTTCCTTGTTCAAGTGCATCCTTTGATAGGTTAATTACAAAGTCAGTTCCTCGATTTGTATGTCTAATTTCTTGTCTATAAGCTTCTAACTTGTTATACTCATCTCTATAGCTGCCCTCTAGCCTCTCAAGGTCCAATCTTTTAGCCCTTTTTAGCTTAGTTTTAGACACATTCACCAGAAAGGTATTCTCCAACCGCCCTCTCATATCTTTTACAGCATACTTAGGATTGTTCTGCACATGCTTCTTGAAATACAAAGCCAAAGTTTTGTAACCAGCTCTAGGATTATCAAAACAGTCATCATATAAATGTATGGACTTCAATATTTTGATTGTACAAGTAGATGTATTCTTATCATTTGAAACAAGACACACAAATGGACAGCCAGTTTGACAAATGTATCTAACTCTAGTTGTATCACTTTTTTTGACTTTAAGCTTCTTCTTATTAAATAAAGCATAAAAGCCCACCACCTCTCTTGCTTCATTGATGTCCTTGAAGGACATTCCCAGTTCCAACTCTCTATAATGTTCAAGCCCATTGGTCACAATTCTTCTTTTTTCTATGTCAATTCCATCAAAATCATTACTATCATTTTCACTACCTTCCATTTCTTCTAACATGTCATCACCAAGTTCATATTCACAATCAGTCCCAACATCAATATCAACAATATATGACTCAGTGTGATGGATAATATTTGGGATAGACACACTAAGATCATACTTATCGACGACAAAGAAATCAAGCATCTTGAACTCCTTAGATAAGAGAAATTTAAGTACCTTAATTCCTTCCTAATTTTCTACCAAATAATACCTACCAGATGCACCAGTTACCAACAACTGCTTAACAGTAATATACCCTAGCTTGGAAGTGAATTCTTCACAAATGTCCTTATAAGAAAGTGAATATGCATCATAACGAAGCCAAGAGTGCAGAAGTCTTTTATTGTAGACTAGTTCAGGTGAAATGACCCAATTGCCACCATAATAGAATAAAACATCAACTTCTTCAATCATCTTCAATTAGCACATGCAACAAAAAGAAAAGGGCAAACACAAAGGGACCACCTCATCATTGAAAGCAACAGTTCAAAAATAGAGTTAAACCATAAAAAAGAATTAAAAACACCAACCGCACAAACATATTCATTCTGAGATTGAATTAAAAACCCTAAAAAAAGATTCATTTATTTCGGGACCACCAACCCCACAGAAATGGATTCATACTATAATAAACAAACATATAAAGACGCAAAACATATGAATAAACTAATGAAATGGTCACAATACCAAAAAATGTCACATGCATCTCTATTCCCCTTTTATAATTACAAACCTCTATGGATCTACCCCACGGTTTAAATGCAAATAAACCAGTAAAAAAACTAACTTGACAAAAAACGACAACTTCAACACCAAATCTTCAAGCTTCGATCGGAGATGAACACTGCTCCAGAACCCTAGCTCATCGTTCAATTTGGGGATTTAGTAGGAAGAGAAATGTAAAATGGTTAAATGG